TATATAGCAATTGTTCATTCCAAGCAGCATTTAATTACCAAAAAAATTGTCTATATTATTATTGTTATCATTTGGGTCTTTAGTTCCCTGTGTTCGGTCTTTCCTATCATAGGTTGGAATCGATATCGCTATCAACCTTATGAGCACGCTTGCTTGCCTGATTGGTCTTATGAGAAGAGCTATCCTATTTATATTATGGCTACCGAATTTGTTCTCCCAATGATAATTTTACTTTACTGTTACACCGGAATATTTATCAACCTAAGGAGAAATTCATTCCGAATGCGCACTGTTTCAGAATTGAACAGTGGCAATAATGAGGCCATGAAGAAAATAGCCCAGCGTGAGGGAAAGGTTACTCGTGGCATGTTTATCATCTTCTTAGCCTTCGTCATTTGTTTTGCACCATATAGTGTATGTATGTTTCTATTAGCTTCTGCATTTAATATTCCCATAGACAAGGGTTTGATGTTCTTTTGCGGATTTATGGCCAATGTGAATAGCTTACTGAATCCTATTATTTATGCTATCTTGTATAAACGCTTTCGGCAAGCTTACTATCGGGTGCTGTGTTGTTGCTGCAGTAAATTAACATTCAGCTCTTCATCGGATCATGCAGGATGCAGTAGCAATCACGGATTGCGATCATTAGCAATGGGTGCCATCGAAAATAAGAACGCCAATCATTCTACCAGTCCATCTATGAAAACTTCTAATTATGGCAGTAAAAAATATCGAAGGCGTTTTAGTTTCATCTACAACGAAGAGGACATTAATAATAGATAACGAAATAGATGGAAATTTTAAATTCAAATTCAAATGCAAATCTATAGATATTGAATGTATCGCAATTGCACATTTATGGAGCGGTGCTATTTATTGGCTGGACTGGATAAAATTCAGTGAAAAATTGGCTATCTTTTCTATCCGAAATTCATCGAAATAGTAATTTTATGAATTATAAACAAAAACATTTTGCTAATCCAAGAAGTTTCATCATCAAGTGCATATTTAATTTCTATATATTTAATACCTCGGATCAGTCAGAGGAAATTAAAAATTATTCTGTATTATATAAATTGAAAAGTACTGCTTCTAGCTAGTAGTTTCATCCTAACTATCAAAATTCACACATGCGATGTTTCTACTACTTGCCTTCTATCTTGCCGTTCAGAATTTCTCCTTTTCTGGTTCTTAGTTCAATTTTTCTTGTAATTTTTTTTGGAAAGTTGATTTAATGTATCGTGTACATACTGAGCCGTTTAATGTTGTTGGTAGTACTAACTTCCCATTAATTCTTGGACATTGATTAGGTATGGTACTATTGATTACTCAGCAGTCTTTGTAGTACTAACAATTTTATCTAATAGGATCGGTATATTCGTATATTTGTATTAGTAACTTACTATGGTTATCTTAATTTGTTTGCAAGTATAAAAGAGCATCTGAAAGTACCGGTATCTATTTGTCAAATTTTATTTTAGTGATACGATGTCGTCATATTGTAGATTTTATCATCGAAATACTGCTCGTACGTATACAGCAGATATACAATAATCTTTCCTTATTCTACTTGTATTAAAATTATGATATCACCTAGCGTAAGAGTATGCTTTTTGCCAATCTAGGATATCATTTGGTTAGAATATCATTCATGGCCGAGGAGATACGGTATTCATTAGCTTACTTGAACATTTTTCTTTGACCTTAGCATGCTACTTTGTAAAATAAGCATTGCCTGCGATTTGAATGCAAAAGCTGTTACTACAAGTGCGTTTTGGCTATTTTTAAGAATAGATTCGGTCTTAGGAATGTCCGTAGTCAATCTTAAGAATTTGGCCTTAATTAAACATGGTCGGACATTACTAACACTTTTACGAAAACAGATTGAAAAGGTGTTACTGTATATTCTTTCGGTTAGTTACTAAGACATTTTTGATTGTAATATATATATTCGAATAGAATCAATTTCAAATTGGTACAAGTGTATGAAATGTTCAGTAAATCTGATTATGATGTTACGATATGATCGTTTGAAGCATATGATATCATGAATTAATAAAAATTATGACAATCTATGTCTTAACAATTTCGTAATAAAAATTGATGTACCAACTTTGTGTATGGCCCATATAAAATGAGTATAATTATAATACAATACTTACTATGAACTGTAGTAAATGGACTAACTCTATTTTTATTTAGAAAGTATTATCTTATTCCATATAGTTATTATATAAAGTCGAAGTTTTTAAGCATTATCACGCATTTTTTCGTCACAGTACCGTAATCTTGGCCATGAATTAGCTTCGTTCCTATTTAGAAAATTCTGCTTACTGCAGCTAATACGATTAAGATATGAAGCTGATTTTCTACAGTAGCTATCAGTACCTAATTTTCGTAATATTACTTGGCTGAATGAAATACGTATAATTTTATTTCTGCTTGGAAAATATATTTATCTTATTCAATAAAACTGAGATATAAAAGGATATATGATAGTTATTAACGCGTAAATTTTCGTGATATCCACTTCGCTAAATGAACTAACTCTATTCTATTTTCTGATAGAGAATATTTCTCAGCTAACCAGATTTCAAATAATTGAAAATAGAATTGAGATTATAATTATTATTATTATGCTATTTTCGCATTAGTAGTCTTGTCAAGGGAACAACTCTGTTTATATTTAGAAACTATTACCCATCTTACCCAATGATTAGACCACTCTTTCAGTGGCGTAGCAAGCTTTCTGTAGTGGTTGAAAGTTATTCAGCTATAGTGCAGCCTTTAATTCGATCTTTTAAATTTTCAAGGTATTTATATTTAATTTAGCTCATATTCCCCATAAACAGATCATTTCCACCGTGGGCAATTAGCTCCCGATGTTTTTGTTCATTTTTACCGCAGTATTGAGCAACTTTATGTCTTTAAAATTTCTAATGCAAACCAACGGTCACTGGTAAATGTACACTGTACAGTCAATTCAACCAGTATACAAGTTACGCTGTAATAGTGGTCTATATAATTTGAATATGAGATTAAAATTAATATTGCCTTTTTACTCAATTTGCAATGCTAACTATTCTAAATCATAGCTAGCCCAGTTTCTATTTAGAAACGAGTGCTTACTGTGACCATTATAATGAAAATATAGAATTAAGATTATAGTTATCTACGAACTATTTATTATGCTTATTTCAATACAGAAACAATTATTTATCTTACCTATTTTAATGAGGATATTAGAAATTGAGATTATATCGTAGTTTTCAGTAAGTTATTTTTCGTGATACGTGTACGCATACTGTATAAGGGACCTGTCACAAACTTCGTTTGTTACTATGAATTCTTCTTCCATGATTACCTGTAAAACCTTCTACCGTATTATAAATCTACTACCAAGCGTCAATACTTTCACTACCTTGACGAAGGACCTTAGTCAACAGTAAGAGCTAGTTTAGAAGTTTACTAGGTAATATTACAGAAGCTATCTTTATTCAACTGTCGTTCCACTCCACAGCTTAAATTACTATCCTCTCTTTTTTAAGTACAAATGCGCTTACTTATATGCTTGTGCCAAGCCCCACCTGTACAATCTATTCATTATTTCCTATACCGTAATATAGTCTTTTTCTGTACACATGTAATTATATCTGTTTCTGTCCTCTATTATTAAAATATGCAAATTGCTGTATGATTTAAATAACAAAGAATATTGTTAGTAAAGGAGTAATTGCACTGAAAATTAGTAAAGTTAGTATTGGAAATTCTCCTATACCCACTATTAGTGTAAGGTATCAAAATTATCGGATACAGTACTCAGCCGTGTAAGCGAAAGTTTTATAGAAATTCCTCTAAATTGAAAGGGCTAAATATTGATAGCATTGGATAAATAGCTACGAAATCTCTGCAAGATATTCCGCCTAAAGTATTCAAACAATTTTAAAGATTGACGACGTGATTACTAGTATTGTATGCTGAAAAGAATACTGACATAGCTAATTATCAAATTGGTACTACGAAGAAAAATGATTAAGTATTAATCGGTTAAAATTTTAAAGATATAGACTTGGTTACAACTTCAACGGTTTACATAGCAATTGAAAAAGCACTTTATATAAATCAAAGCTATACAATATTACTTTATTGTAGATTAACAGCTTGTTTTGATGTGATTTATTTCCTTCTCATTAAAGACTAAATTTACTTGATCTGTGTAAAAAGAATCAGATACAATATTCTTGTTTTCAAGGCCTGCTATTGAAAAGGATTAAAACTCGAGTATAATGTCTAATCATAGCCTTAGCTCAAATCAGACTAGCGGATTTACACCGCTTGCTAATGCTGAAGCTCAAGTACATTTTACTGCTTATGTGATTGTGATGGTTATAGCTATCCCTGCTAATATAGTCACTATTTTTTCTTTTATCATCGATCGTACATTGTGTACCAATTTTAATCTCTTCTTGCTTAACATGGCTTTCATCGATTTGTTGACCAGTTTATTTCGCATCGGTTTCAACGCTTTCTGTATTGCCACTATTGGAAATTCTACATGGCCATATGGTCAGCCACTATGTGATTTTGACGGATTTATACAATGCGTTGTCTATGCCGCTAACATTTACACTCTCATGGTTATAGCAGTTTGCCGTTATATAGCAATTGTTCATTCCAAACAGCATTTAATTACCAAAAAAGTTGTCTGTATTATTATTGCTATCATTTGGGCCTTTAGTTCCCTGTGTTCGGTCTTTCCTATCATGGGTTGGAATCGATTTCGCTATCAACCTTACGAGCACGCTTGCGTGCCTGATTGGTCTTATGAGAAGAGCTTTCCTTTTTATGTTATGGCTACCGAATTTGTTCTCCCAATGATAATTTTACTTTACTGTTACACCGGAATATTTATCAACCTAAGGAGAAATTCATTTCGAATGCGTACTGTTTCAGAATTGAACAGTGGCAATAATGAGGCCATGAAGAAAATAGCCCAGCGTGAGGGAAAGGTTTCTCGTGGCATGTTTATCATCTTCTTAGCCTTCGTCATTTGTTTTGCACCATATAGCATATGTATGTTTCTATTAAAACCTGTATTCAATATTGAATTAAACAGGGGTTTGGTCTTCTTTTGCGGATTTATGGCCAATGTGAATAGCTTACTGAATCCTATTATTTATGCTATCTTGTATAAACGCTTTCGGCAAGCTTACTATCAAGTGCTGTGCTATTGCTACAGTAAATTAACATTCAGCTCTTTAGTGGATCATGCAGGATGCAATCGCAATCACGGATTGCGATCATCAGAAATGGGTGTCATCGAAAATAATAACGCCAATCATTCTACCAGTCCATCTATGAAAGCTTCTAATGATGATGGTAAAAAATATCGAGTGTTTTAGCTTCATCTACAACAAAGAGGACATTCCTCATCCCAGCCACTCGCCCTTGAAATGAGCAGCGCGAGGGTATTTATACTACTGTACTGTTAAATGACTTTGATTATGGGTTCATTTCAATAGCTCAGTATAAGATTCTTACAGTACTTTTTACCTCAAGATTTCTTCATGTAAAACGAATAGATCTAAGGTAGTCATTTCTGCAGAGTACTGATTATTAAAATAGTATTCGTTATATCGCTAAGGGTGGCCACTAGGCCTTTAAATTTTGATTTCATGTAATATTCTGATGAAAATTGAATAAACATAAAATCTTTATAGAGTTTTCTACACAGCCATTTTGATTGTTACATTTTCTTATAACGGTTACTATCGACAGAGCAAGCTTTGCTTGCATACTCAAGCGATCCTTAGACACATTATAATGATTGGTATAGAATTGACCACAGTACTAAGGACATTGAACCGCACTGTAGATATCTTACAGTACCTGTTAATCTTGACTTGGTATGTCCATCACCGTACATTAGTTATCGTAATGTGCTTTGGACTATTAACTAATCTTAATATAACATAGTACATTACTATTACAGGGATATATATATATAATACTATCTGTTAATTTTATTAACAAATTGAGCATAAACGTATATTTGACAGTTTCGTTTACCAACCTTAACATAGCATTAATACTGTATATAGTAACCATCCTTATTCGGTAAACATACTAATACGAAAGTTACTTAACGAAATTTGAATTGGTATAGAAATGAATGATCTCTAGGGTTTATGTAAATATTATTGAGAAGGTAGAAGCGATTGATACACATCAGGAGGTACTATTAGTTCTATTGCTCTCATGCAATTCGTAGTGTTACCCTACTGTAGTTCCCTGTCCCGGTTATTTTTGATTGCTATATATCATATAACAAAAAATGTTTCTAAGAGGATAATGTCAGTTAGTCAGCGATCTGATAGGCGAAAGCGAAGTGAACAACGTGGAAATACACGATCAGTACGTACATTAAATCAATCTGTAAGTAATATCAGGAATTCTGAAGTAGATAGTACTCCTAGAGATCANAATCAGCCAGCAGGTAATCGTAG